ACCACCTGGGGTGCACGCACCCCACTTTGGATACCACTGCTCCAGCTTCCTTGTGTGTAGCAGAGTGACTTGTTTCATGAAGTCATGCAGTATGGGCTAACCAAAGCATGCAGCCTCATCCAAGGGCTGGTGTATGTTTGGGAGTGTCGTGGGACATGGTTCTTCTTCGTGACAGCCCTGTGTCAGATCAAGTGCATTTCTCTTGCACCTGCAAAGCCATGATCGGGTCCCAGATAATTTCTTTCTTTTTTCTTATTTTCCTTTAAATTTTGTGGTAGAATGGTATTTGTTTTCAAAATTGATGGAAAAATGTGAAGTTCCAGTAGGTATTGTTGGATTTTAAAAAAATCCTTCTCAAGTCCCATGAGCTTTATTTAGTTTGGTAAATTAACATAAAGTCAATGTGCTAGAGAGCAGTGAATCTTTGTTGTAAATCCTAACTCAGATGTGGCAACAAATGACCTTTTGGTGGTATTTTACAGATACAATGTCCTTTTGTAGCTCAAACTCCAACCCAGGAACATCTTACTTTATTGCTTACTACATGTTCTATTATTAATTTGCAGTAAGCTTACTGTAAAATAGTGCACAGTAAGCCTTCCTGGGAGCATGTCTATATGTGCTCCCGCTTGGCAATTTGCTCCCACCTTACTCTTCCCTCCTGCAGCAGCCAGGGGGAGATCCAGGCTTCCACCAGTGCTAGCCTGGCAGCTGACAAGGGGCACAGGCCCAATCCCAGTGGACATGGGGCCAAGAGAGCTCTGCTGGCTGCAGCAGCAACTGTCTCCTGGCCTCGGGAAGGGACCTGATGTATATGAGGCTGAGACAGAGCTGCCACTGCAGCAGGCAGATTCTCCTAGCCCCATGCCCATTGGGACACACAGCTGCCAGCAATCCCCCTACCCAGCAAGGCTTCCCTGATGGGCATGGGGCCAGGAGACAGCTGCTGCTGCAGCTGACAGATCTTTCCTGGCCCTGTGCCCACTGGGATTGGCCGTGGCCCCAGGACCTCCCTGCCTGACAGGGGGTTGCTGGGAGCTGTCCCAGGTGTGAGGGAGCTGCCAGTGAACCTCCTGCTGGATGGGAGACACAGGGCTTACTGGCAGCTGCCCTGCTTAGCATGCCCCTGCCCACTTCCCAGAGCAGCCGGCTCCACACCACACAGAGCTGCTCTGGGAGTGCCACCCTCTGGATTGCCAGCTTCATGCTGGCAGCCAGGACAGGACGGGGGGCAGAGAGATCCCCAGTCCCAGTGCTGATCAGCTCCCAGCTCTTGAGAGCAGCTGAGCAGTTCCAGGACCATGGACAGAGAGGTCCCTGTCACCTGTGGTCCCCTGCTGCCTAGGCTGACCAGGATCAAATTTGCTCCAGGTCATTGTCTACACAAGTGTTGCTGTGCAGTATCTACTGCACAGTTAGTTTACTACCTGTATTTACAGGTAGTAGCTAACTGTGCAGTAGACTAATTTACTGTGCAGTAAATGTGGAAACTCATAGATAGTGATGTTTTACTGGGAAGTAGATTAGCCCACTATCCAGTAAAACATGGTGCATTTTCTTCCACTGCAAAAAATATGAACACAAATCCTTAGAATACCATGCCTGCATATGTCAGTATGATCACTTTAAGGAATTTCTTCTGTTCTGCTAGGGATCTGGGAGCTGAAACGTGAGGAAATCATCCTGCTGAAAGAACTGGGGAGTGGACAGTTTGGAATGGTACAGCTAGGAAAGTGGAAGGGGAAGTATGATGTTGCCGTTAAGATGATTAAAGAGGGATCGATGTCAGAAGATGAATTCATAGAGGAAGCTCAGAACATGATGTAAGCTTTAGTGTTTCTTAACTAAGTGACATCATCAATAGTCATCTTCTGAAAGATGTGTCAGTAATATAAAGCAGTCACTGAAAAGGGAAACTTCAGTACCACAAGAAGACTTAGGCACAAGATGAGTAGGTGACTGCATAGAGAATCATATTTAATGAGGTATCACTGGAATAGCACAAAGACTGCAGAAATCACCTACTATAAACTGCTCTTCCCTGCCTGCAGAACCTTTTTAAGAATATCTTTCATTCAACCTACATAGCTGGAATTGCTTATTCATGGATTTTGTAGA